ATATCCTTTTACACGAAGAGGATAAAGATTACAACGTGTATAGAATATGTGGGTTTTTATCCCTTTTTTGTAAATAGTGAGTCAAAGTAGGTAAATTGCATGGAATTTATCAACTGACAGAACAATTATTTAAGCGTTACCACCATATAGGACACGTGTCATCTCGATTGAGAAATATAGTACAAAGTGATTAACGTTCAAAGTGAAGATGTACCAGAGACGTGGTAGGTGCGTTATCGTGCTAAGGATGCCAGCAGGTGCGACAGTGGCGATAAGACACGGCGCGCGTCCCTGCCCCGCTTGCCGCCGCCAAACTGCTATAAAAACTTATTGAGCAATTACCTGATAGCGCGCAACTGTGTCAAGTTCTTCTATAACACGAAACACTTCACCGTTAAAAACGGTACCTTCGTATTTTTAAACCAAGTACAATTTATTAAAACAATTATTTACGATATATCAAAACATCAGCGATTCACTGTTTTAACCGAAAACATTATCTGCATTTAAACGTGAAACAGGCCTGCAACTGCCACATAAATTTGTTCCATAAATAATGTACTTAAAACAAGAAACTTTATAAGGAGAGTCCCTCTTCCTGCCACAAGTTTTCTTATTTTGCCATCCAGTGAAATAATATTTTCACGTTAGCAAGACATGACAATACCATTGACATAGAACGATTTCCTCCGGCTGATGAAATGAAACCAGAAGCCATCATTAATGTGGAGCCGTGAGAATTGAATCGATGCTTCGGAGTCAGAACAATGACACAAACATAATCAATTGTATGCAGCTACTGCGTGCCATCGCTACTCGGAAATCATTAGTTAGTATAAGGAGATCTACAAGAAACCACAACGTTTCACCATTGTCGAAGATACAAAAGATTCTAATACGTAACGTATGCTTTATATTTAGGTAAACATTAAAAAACTCGAAACACGCAAACAACAGCTTAATTACTAGAAGCAGGGTGCTCGAGGGGCACGAAGGTCGGGGGAGGGACGGTCGTGTAATTACTTTGCGTGCACATTACAATTGTTGATTTGTATTAAAAAAGAGAAATCGACGCGCTCGTACCTGAAACATCAGCTATTATTGTGTACTGAATTAAAACCTGCTAAATATGTTTTACGTAATGTCAAAATACAAAGTGAACAGGTTACAAACATGAACCTAATTCTTATGAAGCACATATACTGGTTTTTGGAATTCCATCTTGTGCCGATAACATGAACAAGTAACGTTTTATTTCAATATTTAACAAAAAAATATGCTAGTACTAATAACTAGTAAATATAAATTGGGTATTCAAACCTTATATATCATGGTTTGGTAATTCAAGGACCAGTATTTGCATAACAATATAGATTAGTATGGGAGGCGCGTAGGGTCCCGCGGGGCCTAACTGGCGAAACGCGACCTTCAGTTTTGTACTTATCTGAGACCTTGGGCGGAACACTTCGTTAGAACGCGTGTTGAATAAACAGACTATGTTCATTGTAAGCGTAAATAATTTTGTAATTAGATTCGTAAGTATTCATGTGGTAAAGACTGACGAAGTAACCAACGGATAATTGTAATAAAAAACGACGTTATATACGATAACGGAATAGTAGACATGTGTGCAAACGTTTAGAACCCGTTTGTAGTGACACCCCACCCTACTCTGGGCACTACCAAACTACCTTTAGGCGAGCAACGGCGGGCACAAGGTCGCGCCGTTGCCCGACACCGACCTGCTCAAGTGAATCTCACATTGAAAAACGTTTCCGTAAACTGAGATCACACTCGTTACGTGTCTACTTGTAATATGCGTATCTACTCTATTGATTATTTTTTATCTATAAAACAACACATATTACTCTTTCAAATTAGTCAGTTTTCAAAAATGCACGTTTAGTATTTTTTCTATAAATATTCATGTCTTATTTGTTGGGAATATTATGTAGAAATTCTAAAAGACCATTGTAATTTATAATAGAAGAATTCCGTAGAGGAACGGTCTAGTGAATCTTACGAAATTAAGAGGAATGTTCGTAAACTTGCATGTTCAATAGCTGCCCTTGACTCCATTGGCGGGCCCTAAAGTGGCGCGGAGGTCTCAGGCAATGCCACAGCGCTCGGGTTTTTTCCTTCTACCAAGCTACTGAACATAGAACATACGGTAAAAATGCGTCGATATAAATCTTCTTTACACATAGATACATGATATATAACATTAATATTCCTCATATGTACGAAACTTAATTAAATTAAGTTTTGGTAGTAAAAACTGTTAATCATATAAATAAATTGGACTAGTCGCGTATCAAGTATCACTACTTATTCACTTTTCATTTTCATCTAAATTGCTTGCAGAAACTCCACTAGATTACATAAGCACACTATTTGCAAGAGCGCTCTCAAACTGAAACAATAAAATTATTATGTAACATAAATTTAGAGGAACAAAATAGAGAGCGGTGCGTGGCCTGGCGGAGCGGAATTACGCGAGCAATAAAACAAATAACAATTAGCGTTTCGTTATCGCACCGCGCTCGCACCATAATGTTATATTTAGTTAAACGTAATTAGTCGCTATCGCGGACCAGAATTCATCCATCTGCTATATTTCGAAGTGAGGATGTTCATTAATAAAATGAACGACACAAAGCGACCGACGACGCCGCTCCAAACTGACTCAACGTAAATCCATAAAATCCAGACGGGAATAAAACTTACGAAAAAACGCTAAGGCTACGCTTCGCATCGAATAATCAAAAGAATAATTTAACGGTTTTTTTAATCGTGTTACCACGTGTGATGATGTCATCTACGATCGAGTAAGTGTCGCCAACACAAACATACGATTTTCACTGTTTTGACAATTTAGTGGTAGCTAGATAGATACAATTTCTTGTACTGTATTATCGAGTGATATTTGTCCTCGTCTAGACTAGACAACGCCAATGAACTTAATGCAATACCAGCATGTAAATAATTTGTATTTTAATTTACAAAAACCATTAAAAAGATTAAAATAAAATAAATTAATCATTCCCGTTGTAGCGCAGCGATAGGCCGTTGTAAAAAGAACTTCTAAAACGGCTTCAGATTTCAGTGTCGTTGTGTTTTGAAGTGTCATCGAGCTGGACGCGGCCGTCGACTCTCATCACCGGCTCGACAACAAAGCTTGTAAAAGGGTAGAATTCTTAAAGAATCTTGGCTGCCTTGTCTCTATTTAGATCTTAGATTACTACTAGTCATATAAAAGATGAATAAACATTTTAAAAACGGGTGAAAAAAAAATCGAGCTATTTTTAAACTTTAGAGATTTTTTACATGGACTGGGAACCTGGTTAAAAGTGTTGGGTAATGGTTACTTAAGCGAGGGCAGTTTCCAGCCGCGATAGAGCATGACCGAACACGCAGGATAACGTTTGGAAAATACGTATATGGGGCGTAAGCACACACTGGAAGAATGATCTTATTGGGATAGAGCATTTGGTATTTACTTTAAGAAATAAATATATGACATATTAAACTAAACCGTCAATTAACCTTTTAGCAAACTTTTTGTTGCTATTTTTAATTATTTCCTCAATATATCGACATATATTAAAAGTAAAGTGCGGATATCAACAACCATAAGTCCATTTTCGTTTCTTTTATAGCCTAATACGAAATAATGAGTCTACTCGGCACCAACTAGCCTAAAGTCTATCGATGATTACTGATTGACTGGTTTATTTATGTTGTGATAAATTGCAAACACAGGCCAATACAATTGTCATCAAAAACAGCTTTGCGTAACGGTCCAGCTACATACTGCGCTGTCCAGCAATACTAACGGAATGAGATAGGGACTCAACTCTATTGTATCAATAAATAACATTAAGCTTTAAATATGCCTATAACATAATACTTTGACAAAACTTATCTAATTAGTAATCTGTTCCAGGTATTTATATATTCTTCAATTATTTATTTTCCTTATAACATTTCCTCAACAATTTCTATGAAACTGACTACATGTGTTGGCATATTTCTTTAGTAATTAACATAATTTGCAATGTTCAATAGACAATATTCATAATAATATTAAAATTTAGTTATTGTAGTTGTAGTAAGAAATAAACTGAATCATTTAACAACAAATGTATTTACAGCAGTTACCAAGGTGAAAGGAATTTTAAATGTCTAAATATAAAGTCAGATGTTAAATTAAATGTTATGTTTCAGGATATATCTATGTTATTGGATGGCTTATATATACATGTTATAGTTTTTATTAGCTGGCATAATACTCTATGAAATTTTAGTCTTACCAAAAATATAATGTTTCAAACGTCAAGTTTAAAATTATTTATTATCATGTATTTAATAACAATAAGAATAAAAAAATAAAAAAAGCAAAACAACACAAGTTGAAATGCTTATAAGATCATTTGTAGATCAATTAAATTCTCATAGAAAATTTAAATAAAAATTAAACAGAATGATTATCCTTTCCTCTTTCTTTTATTTAATAAGAAGAAAGTTTATTTTTATAAAAAAAAAACTATAACAACTAAACAAGTGTTTGTCATTATTCCAAGTTGTTTAGTTTTATTATAGTAAATTGTAAATTACTTTTAATGTTTACCATGAATCTAACAAATTAGCAATGATATATAGTAGTTCACATATAAAATTGTATTATAAACAAATAATAATAATAATATTGATATGATATTTTATTTCTGTACTTAATTCACGTCTATTTGACAATATATACAGTAATAGTACCATTCAGAAACTTCACTTTGGCAACAATCTCCAAGCCTCAGTTTGTTGGTGAGTCTCGTGTACGAATTACAAAACATAGATGATTGCCAAAGGAACAAAACAACCGAATATTTGATTGTTTGATCACAAATTTGCTAAACACGAACAACCGTCACAATAGGTATTGTATGCTGCTATTTGATCAAGCCAACTTATCAAAGATACCATTATAAATTGAAATAACTTACCAATAACAAAAATTTCACAAATCACACAACTATTAGCCGTTCATATACAACCACTTTAAGCATCACAGTCAAATGCAACACAACTGCTTATTCACAAATATTCACATTTGATAATGATACGCGATGTAATAAAAATGTTTTTCAATATGAAAAATAGACACTCGCGATGCGTTACCGAGACAGTCTTTTTCTGTCGGCCATTGCTCGACACACCACAGACTAATGGTAACCGTGTCGTGTCATGAAGATTGTTAAAAACATCGGTTTTTACGGTTAATGTTGCCATCAAACGATTTTCTTTTTGTTTTACTTTTAGGAAATACCTACCTTACTTTTAGTAAGTAAAAATTATGAATTAAAATTCTCATGCTTGAAGAATCTATATAAATAAACTACATTTTTGATGTTGCCAATAACCAAGTCAAAAACATACAAAAAAAAATCATTTGACGTTTGACAGATGATAGTGACAGCTGAATCTAATGTTTTCCATATTTATCGAATACTAATAAAACCATTATTTTGTTTATAAAATGGTTAAGTATAAAAATGCTGCTTTGGCTTATAAAACTTTAAACGGACTTATATGTGTATACAAACCTCCGTGTGTGCCTGTGCGACAAGTGCAACATACAATTGTGACCAATATTTGCCGAGGTTATACTCTTTTAAATTTGATATACTTTGTGCGAAGATCAATATTATAAGCGATTACTTTGTTTCAGATTTAAATGCACTACCCGACAGACCTCAAGAGAAAAGAGTTGAAATAGTAGGTGCTACTAATGCGCCTATGACTGTTAAATTAGTGCCAAATTACGCAGACAATCCTTTGGTTTGTGGTCCTCGGTACACACACGACGAATTTAGATGTAGTTGGGCTACTCACCTTGGCTTATTTACAAGTGGAATCCTTTGTAAGCACTTGAATTGCTAAACATTCCTAGTTGTGCATTTATAATAAAATATGGCTTGTTGAAAACATAAATACTCATCTATAAATATATTTTGCAGTGCTGGGTTTGAATGATGGCACAAGGCTGACATACCAGATCAATGTTGCTAGACCAACAAGAGCTTACAAAGTGCATGGCCAGCTCGGCAAGGCAACAGATACTTACTTCTGGAATGGTAAAACAATTGAAAGGTCTACATTCAGCCATGTAACCAGAGCTAAGATAGATAGAATTGTTGCACACATGCAGTCCGCTCATCAGAAAACTATGTTTGAGTAAGTATATAGGAGTAAATAATTTCCTTTTGAAAAATGTGAAAAACCGATTGTATTGAATTTTCAACAGTTCATTTTTAATAACTTAAAATGATTGTTTGCAGATTGTCAGGCCTGCATATGGATTCACAAACTACATATGACCTAGCTTCTCAGGGGGTGATCAGGCCTGCAAATAGCAAACTACCTGTCATATATGGATTGAAATGTGTACATTTTGAACCTCCAAATTTTACATTAGGTATTACATCTATGACTCTTATGTAGACTGTAATAAGCCACAATTTTAACATTTACACCTTGATTTTTTTTCTTTATTAACCTGATTAATACTTATTTCATTGTAAGTTTTGTAAAATTTAATTTGATTTCTTATTTTACAGAAGTGCAAGCAGTTAATGAATATGAAAAATACTTGTGGACATTAATCCATGATCTTGGAGTGCAGTTGAAAACATCTGCCCACTGCACCGGTCTGCAGTGCATCAGACAGGGCAAGTTCACATTAGACAAGGCTCTATTGAGGAAGCACTGGCAGTTAGACCACATTATTGATAACATGGACAGTTGCCGAGAACTAATGGAAGAGAATGAACAATTGTTACGCCCTAAATCTGCTCATTTATCTGTTTAATTATAAGTGTACATAGAGTGTGAAATAAAAGTTGTTTAAAATATTCAGACGATTTTATGTATTTTAGAAACTCATTTCAGTGTTTGCTGTTCACATTAAGTAAAATCAACCCTAAGAAATTGTTTCTTTGAGAGCCTTAACACTTAATACAAACCATATTCCAATAAAATTTTGATGTTTGCCAAATTGAAATTTTTAAGATTCAGCCTTTAGTCTTCTTTGAATCAACATTGTTGAAGGATGTAAACTTTGTTTATTTAATTACATCTTTGTTCCATTACATATTTAAACAAAACATTATTAAATAATGTGTCCATATGACGACTTGTCAGTCAGGTGTTTGGTGAGGAAGATGGAGTGTTGGCCTGTTTCTCCATTTGCTCTATTCTTTTATGCCTAATCATATTAGACAAAATGCCATCAAACGACGTTGTTTTTTTCTTCGCTGACCCTCTTAACGTATCCTCTCCCTCCCTGCGAACACGTAAACGCAAAGAACTAACTTCGTCCATAAAATCAAAATCGGACTTTTCCTCTCTTATAGGCGAGGCGGGTATTTCTGGTTGATTGTCTTTGCAGACTTGAACTGGTGATGGAGCTCGTCTACCTGGACACTTCCATTCCAATGGTAAAGTGCCCGTTTTTTCAATAGTTTTGTACAAATCTTCTAATTCGGCGGGATCGGGCATCCAACTTTTGCCAATTAATACTCCTGTTTTTGATATTTCGTCGTCTGAGCACGGTAAATCCCAGTCGTCACCTTGGAAATCAGGTGTCACCATATTGAGATTATTTATACCTATTACCTAGTAATTATCCCATTCAATTCCAACTTTATTTAATTTGTTTTGGTGTCCGATTGGTTTTTAGAGGTTATATTTACTTGTCAGTTACAAAGAGATAATGTAAAGATTAAAAAAATGACAATACTACGCGTTTTATCTTATCGCATGAAAATTAAACTAAAACAGTAAATCATACTAACTATAACTCATAATCCTTTTTATTAGAAAAATACAACATTGGGAATAAGTACATAGATCCAACAATTTGCTGTGCTGTCTTTGGACTCTTTTTTGCGCGCGCCGAATGATAACCAAAAGCTATGACATGACATTAACAGCTGCTTGTTCTCCTGAAAACTTGTTATTAAATTGAAACATGTGTGACTATTTTATTTGATATTGTTTCCATTCTACAATTTCAAAATATTTCAAGCGTAATACATAAAAAATATACTAATAAAATGTCGTCTTCAGAGAATGATTCTGACAGTGAAAAAGTAACTTCACCAAGGTATGGTTAGTTATTTAAACATTTACTTCAACGGTTTTAAAATCTTACGATTTAAACTGAAATTTCCATTAATATTATAGATTGGGAAAGTGCGAGGTTTGCGATGCGCGGGAAGCGATTTATACTTGCCCTAAGTGTGAAGTAAAGACTTGTTGTTTATCTTGCGTTCGAATACACAAGAAAGAATTAGAATGCGATGGGATTCGTGACAGGACTAAATTCATCAGGATGAAAGACTTCAGTGACACAGACTTGCTGAGTGACTATCGCCTGTTAGAGGAATGTGCAAGGTTTGTTTATGCAGTCAGGAGAGATGAAAAAAAGAAATTCACAAGAATTGACAAGGATTTACCTATTGTAAGTATTTACCACACTAGATTTACACAAAAAACCTATTTAATCTTATTAATTTATTGTTAAAACTTTTAGCATTTATTCAAATTAAAAATGGCTGCAAGGAACAGAGGTATTGCATTACAATTCCTAGCCCAAAATTTTACACGACACAGTGTCAATACAACAAGATATCATTATAAGACAAATGTCATATCATGGAGAGTTGAATGGATTTTTCCTAATGTTGACACAAAACCATTAAAATTTGTGGATGCAAAATGTCCTGAACAAAGCAAGCTGTCTGGATTGCTGGATAAATATCTCAATACAAATGCACCATCTTTTGAAGGTTCAAAATCTTTGGCTTTCTATAAATCAGCTGGATTTAGTGGCATCAAAATATTGTTAAAAGGTAAAAAAAAAGCACAATACTCTTTCAGCATAATCCCACTCACTTTTCCTGCCATTTAATGTTTCAGTCATTTAGGTTTTTAACATTTATCATAACTGTTTTAACAATTTTCGTGATTTCGATATATAAATTCTAGCTGAGAAGATAAGGGGATCTGCAAAGAAGTTTTTTGAACTAGATCCTACAGAAACTTTAGGTGAAAATCTGTCAGGAAAATGTATCATAGAATTTCCTATAATATTTGTTGTTCTCAAGGACCATGCATGTAACTTTGAAATTATAACACCAGGTGAGTCATGAAATAATTATCTTATTAATTTAATAATAATGTAATTGACACAAATAAATATTTTATTTTTTCAGAAGATGAATTTGAGGCCAATTTAAAAGATCTTGACACTAGACAACATATAAAAAACAATTTTGAAAGTCAAAAAGATGAATCTGGAATTGAAAACTCAAGCCGAGAAATTAATGAGCAGAGAAAAAGGCCCCGGCAGTTGTTAACAGAAAAAGTAGCACAGCAGAAAAAAATGGAAATTGAAAAGGAAATAAGAGAAGAAAAGAAAAAGAGACCTAAAAATTTATTATTTACAACAGGGTATTCATCAGAAGAAAGTATAGTTAGCAGTGACAGTGAAAATGAATCTAATGCTAAGAAATAAATGCATTCCTGATCAAATTTAATTTATTTACTCAATCTGAATGGCAATTAAATTATTTATAGTCAAAACAAATAAATACTCATTAGTTGCATGGATGCCTAAAATTTCTCCATATTTATTTACATTTATAATACGCTGTTGACCATGTTTTATGCTTGTAACTTCAGTCCCGATCCTTTTTCTCAAGTGGCAGTTACTATCACTTGACTTTTTATAAATAAAAATGTGCGTTGCAGCTTCACAGACTACACTATATGCAAAATTGGGTGAACATGTAACAAATTTACGATTTTGTTTAGATGATTGTACATATCCAAAAGCGAGTAGAGCCCCTTGGTGCTTCACCGGCCATGTGTCAGAGTTCACAAGCTGAGCATACGGCTGCCAGATGCAGGCGTCAACGTCATGTCGTAAAGCTAACGCAGGAACCTCATCTACTGCTAATTTGATGTTGAACAAGTACTGATGGACACTAAGTGGAATCCGATGTGTTACTTGATGACTGTTTAAATCCATGCGAACTGAAATGAAAAAATATTTTAGTTATGAAACTGCATGAGTATTGATGAGATTTCATCCAGCTCACCTAGTACTGTATCTTCTTCAGATGCAGCATCACACTCTTCATACTCTTGCGTTGAAAGTCCAGGGACCAGCTTGTCACCTGTCACTTCCAACTCTGAACACAAATGTGCAAGTTTCCTGTGAGTCTCTTCTACTAAACTTGCATCCAATATTTGCTCTCCATTTTTATCCCCTCCTTCTATTAGGCTGTCCCAAATTACACTCTCACATTTAGTGATTAATATATCCACCTGTCCACTTTCTTCTACATTCCATGTAGTAAACTCACTCTCCACTTTATGTTTAAGCTTACCTTCCAAGAACACTTTACCTGCATAGCTAACTTTAATAGATAAAGGACCTACATTAACATGAAGTAACTTTTTATCAAAATTTGTTTGTAATTTTAATGTAATAGTTATATCTTCAGTTGTTTGAAGCCATGTATATATAATTTGTTGTTGCAATTCCTTAGGTTTTTGCAATATCTCACTTACTGAATCTACAATAAACTCAAATGGGTTGTCAGATGCAACATAAAGAGCAGAGCAATTGGTCTCCATGGCGGCATAATGTATAATACCTTTGCCTCTCAGCTGTCTGAAACTTGCCTGAGACCAATTGTTTTCATTTTGTTTTAATTCAAATGTCACCCATGTCAGTACTGAATTAAACTGTGTTTCATTATGTTCCACTGACTGTAACAGACAATGTAGTGATTCCCAATCATCTTTTTCCCGAGTTCTAGAGTCTATCAAGTTGAAATATTTCCCTTCTCCGAGAACTAAACTGGAGTGCAATGTCTGCCATGTCTGTATTTCCCCCATAGCTTTACTTCTGGTACCTGTTTCAATAATATGTAAGTAGCCTGTGCCATCACTGACGGTAGCTAAATTTGCAGATGGGAATGAAAGACAAAGGTTAAAATGCCCAGGTTTCCTTTCAGTATGAGCTGGAATATCGTAAACAACGGTGGTTTTAAATTTTTGAGTAAAACTGTCAAAATTAATTTTCTGTACTTGCTGTTTATTGTCAATATAATAGAAACCATAAGAATAATCCCAGTGGTCTACCACGAGATGGTTATGAAGGGCGAAAAGCTTTGCATGCACAAATGAATATTGCACATCATCTGGATACACTTTGTCAACAGGAACGTTCAACTCATAAGTGTAATGTGCGAGAGCATGTATATTGTATTTGTAACCCTCAAATTCGTGATCTAAATAATTCCTGTTAGGTCTTAACTCTACTAAAGAAGACATTATTTAAGACTTGCAGTAGACGTTGTGTTGTCAATTTATACTGTATAGAAATTCTTGATTGACTAACTTGCGCCGGCGATTGTAAAAAAATGTTTATTTATTACTAGAAAACAAAGTAAAATGGCAAAGATTTGCAAATGTAAATGTCAATCGAATCAATATCATGTTTTACTGTCAACTGTCATGCAATTGTATATGTCATTAAAACTTACAGATAATATATGGATTGGCAGTTATAGGATAAATGCAGAACATGAATAAAAATTGTCATGGTCCCTAAATATAAAAAGTGTAATAATAAGATTATTTTTAATTCAATAATCTACAGGCATGTTTTTGCAATCTACGTATATAAAATTACGTAATTCTTATTCAAATCAATCAATATTCAAACAAAGATCGTGCCGAATACGCTTTAAGTTAGTACTCTCCATTAATTTCTCTTTTGTAGTCGTAAACTTAAATAAATACGAAATGATCATAATCGAAAAAAAAAATCGGTCATACCTGATTCTTTTACAGGTGTTATTAATTTTTTTACTGGGTGGCGGCGCCAAATCTAAAGTTTGAATTTGAAGTATGACAAACACACAGAGGTTAAGTTTTAGATTTTAACTTTAGATTAAATTGATAATTTATATGGATAAATGTTACATTGCGAAAAATAAATCATACTAAGTGGATAGTTGAAGTCTTTTTACAACTTTTTTTTAAATTACTCAAAAAATAATGCCATACGAAAAGAACAAACTTTATACGCAAATGCCTTTTTGTTTGGAAACTAAAAGGGTAAATATCTCTTTAATAATTTAGTTTGTTAGATAGGGTACTGATTAAGTAATTTAATTTTCAGGCTGAGTTTTACATCTTTTATGATGTCGAGGACTTAGCTGATAAGTGTGAAATGTTTAAAGATGATAGTTTTAAATTTCGCACGATTGGCCTTTTAAAAAGTATTAATGGAAGATTTTACATTGAAAGTGTGAGTATTTGGTATATTTACTTAACTTTTAAGATCTTCAAATACTATATTGGTTCAATGTTTTTTTAGATGAAACTTCCTATGAATAAAACAACAGATGTAAGAGTATCAATGGTTTACATGAACAGCTATCTCAAATCTACTGTGATACCTTACCCGGTGCAATTATTTGGTACTATTCAGTGGAAGAAGGAGCCTGTAATTATAGCTCATATTCTACAGGTTTGTTCTTTGTTCAATACATAATTTATATCCGTGCTTTTTTAAAGTTTTTTTTTTGCTAAGTTTCTTGAAGAAAAACACATTAAACCTCATTTTTCCAAGTTGAATAAAATAGTAGGCTTATTTCCAGAGGTGTACAAGTTAATATTTATATTTCCCAGGCATTAAGTACAAGCATGGCCATTAGATTGATGGAGACTTTAAAATCAGTGTCAAGTGCACATATTGCAAGGTTGCCAATGGAAGATTATTGCTTTGACTTTGAAGAGGATAGTTTTAGTAATGTTTAGAACAGGACACTTTTCACCAATGAGAAATGAACACCGAGGGTATTACCGAGTAGTGATTTGCTCAGCTTCGCCTGTGTACAATCAGTATCAACTCCAGGTGAAGTTGAACCTGAATATACAGTACTTAAAGCATGGGTGGGTGTTTCGGCAATAAGCAACAGTTCACCTGCAATGCAGGCTATGGGGAAATTAAACCACTTAAAGCTGTATCACTTTATATTTCATATTAACTGCTGACCAACCATGCTCCTATACACAAGATATATTAGTGTGCGAAACTGATGCTGGTGCTGCATCATATGCAGCCCCAATCTCACTGGCTTACTGGTAACATTGCCAACAACAGACAACAACTCTGCAGATTCTTGCTATTTTGCCAATGACTGTGATCTACAATTACATACCAGCTCCTCTTTGCCATAGTTGTTGGGAACAACAACCTGAGTGGCATGGGATAAGTGTCATATCTTTTCTGTCTCTCCAGCAACATAAAATACTTATAGTTTAATTTGATAAAGTAGATTTTTAATGAGAAAAGAATTTTTGATATTGAAAAACAATCAAATCTTCATATAAGTATGTAGTAATGTTTCATATCTTTAGGATTTACCAGTTCCTCCTTATTTAATCTTAAGTTATTATTACTAAGATTCTCTTTTACTGATAAATCATGCAATACAACAGCAGTTAATTTAAAATAAATAATATCAAAATTATGCATTTATTTAATTAAATACAATTAACACATAATATACAGTCCATCACCATCCATGTGGGTTTAGCAAAATTATTGACAAGTTATGCAACTCGGAGAAATGTTTGTGTAATTGTAATACTAGAAAAATATCTAATTCACAATTTTATAAGATATTTTGTACCAATAATAAGGCAAATATTTAACATCAAGCTAGAATAAGGATGTGACAAAAGCAATAAAACATTCTATAATTTCTAAAGCATTACAAATTACAATACAAAATTCCAAGAAGTCTAAAGCTGTCTCAATGTAATTGAAATGTTATCTGAAGCTATTTTACAATTTTTGATAGCTTATTCATGCTAAACTATTTTCAAATTTTTAACTAACATGAAAGTTGCTAAAACCTTACAATTTTATAATAAGTTTCGAGTTTTATAATATTGTGAACATGTTGGAATGATTTGAAAGAACAGCTTTTACTAATATATTGAAAATGTCAGTCGGGATACAAAATACATTTACAAACCACATTGCTTCTGCTAATATTGTGATGAAAGTATTATAAGCATATTTACTTAATAGTTTACTGAATCCGCATATGTTAATGTTTTTTAGAATGAAAGATTGTAGTTACAAAGAATAGCTACAGAATAGAAGAAGATAAGTAAAGTTATAACAACTTTTGAGGTATATGTTGGAGATTTCTTCGTGAAAAATCCTTCATATTGAAAATATAGTTCAATTCTGATTACTCAGAGATAATATTTATTATTAACAAAAGCTAAGTTAAAATACTTGCAGAAACTCAATTATTTACACAGAAATAGAAACATTTTAACTGTGTGTTACATCATGCCTTCTTGAGTAATTTCAGAAATATAAAAGAGTTACTTAAAATTGTATTAATTTCTAAGACTTATTATTGACCATAATATTGTTATTGCATAGCACAGAGTACAATCATCACAATATTGATTGTTGTCAGTGTGAGGTTAGAGAACCCAGAAGTAGAGCACAAACACCAGCAGGATGACGGCTCCCGCTGTCACTTTAACCAGCATTGACTTTGTGTTCAAGTATGTGGCATCCTTCTTGTATTTCTGTGACATCATCGAAAGGTTTTGTGTTTTTGTGTCTAATTCTGGAAACAAATTGTATTAGGTTATAAAAATATTTCATAATCAAGATAACATTTCAAATTATTAAAATATTCCTTTACTTTATATGTTTAAATACTACAATCCAATACTACCTCATTTTATAATTTCTTAAAATAACATCAGTCATCTGTTTGTCAATGGGAAGTCAATCCATTCAACAAACAAGTTTAATATCCCAGAGATTTAATATAGAGTGCAAAAAGGGTGTGATGACAGAAGAAGGATTAATCCGGAAAATGAAAAACTGGTGTGGTAACCCTACAAGAGTAGAATATGGATGAGAAAATCATGATCAGAAATAATAGGGAGTAAATAACCTGAGAGCACAGCGCCTCGTTGCAGCACATCATCAATGTTCTGCATCATGATGCGCTGGACATCGCCCAGTTGTCCGCCGAGCTGCGCCGCCGCGGCCGGCCGCCGCGCGCGCGCCCCGCCCTCCGCATACTGTTTGCGTGCGCGCTGCATCCACGTGTCGAACTCTATGAATGTGTACGGCCTTGTCACTGTGTTTACCTGAAAGTTACATGCACACTTATTTAAAAAAATATATATATGTCCCCACTGAGGGGCTGGGATCCTACACTAAGTTGAGTCAGTCCAAACAATATTTTATGTTCATGAAGATAGTATTTTAAAAACTAAATCAGTATTTGAGTAATATAAAAAATTACTAGGAGGCTTTAAATGTAATTTAAAAGTTCATAAAGTATATTAAATAACACATTTACTAAAAAACTTACACTTTTCCCGTATTGGTGGAAGAACTCTTGTGCTATCTCCTCTAAGTAGCTGAATGCAAGTCGTTTACTATAGTTTCTTTCACAGAGCACCAGGTAACAGATCTCATTCTCTATTAAATAACTACAACAAAATAATATTGATTATTATTGCATCACATGTTGCTTATTAAAAAAAGCTGATGAAACTTATGCATATTATTATGACTCTAATAATAATACTGTAATAAAGGAAGGAATTATATAAAGCAAAAGAAACAACTGAAAATAAAAAGCATTGTAACTCACTGAAAGAGGTAGGGCCCAGTTTCTATGGAGCAGCGAATTGGTGACTGGGGACCTAGTTTCCTAAACAGCATTTTAGCTTGATTTTGATACTCCAGTACATTGCAGCCGCTCTGCGAAACGATGACAGCAAATCATATTAAACGTAAATAAAAATAAGAAGGAAGGTGCGAGCATTGTTAAACTTGAATATACCAAGGAGATACTACATTACTTTGAGATTCATTTACGAGTGAAAATAATTATTTTATCGTATTAAATCACCGTTACCTGCTCATCTTCTTGCATTGTAGCTGCTAACGGCAGGCCGTCAACGACCCTAGCGATCATTGTCATTAAAACCATTTTGTTTTTAAATTAACGTCCCTCGATAAAATTGTAAAACTTAGTCCTTATTCACTTCGCACGACTTTTTCTTTCTCATTATTAGGAAAATAGGAAAACAAATCGTAATATTTTGTGACAGCTGCACTATTACACGTCAAAGCGATTTGACAAGACAAGTGACAACAACACGTCAGCTGAAAGGGGCCGTTTTGGTGAATCGTTCAGAAACGTGAAAATAAAAGATGAGTAACGTTCGGAACAAATGCAATGTTTCGCCATATTCGGATACAGTTATTCAAATAAGCGGTCCTACTTTACGGGTTTAATGATTGTCGGACATTATTATTTCGGAAACTAAAAACAACTTAAAATAAATCACTTTTTCCGTTAAGAAACAGGAAACAATACATAGGTATTTTGGGTGGAACAAAACTATGCCTCAGCCTTTGGACTTTAACGACCATAACTGTATTTTCATACAAACCTTGAGATAATAGTGGTCCATCATATTTTAAGCCTTATAAAAATATTAATTCTTGTAATATCCTCTCTTCTATCAAACATATTGATAAAAATGCACTGAAAAAAATTAGTCACCAGATACCGAGATTTAAAAAGCTGTCCTTAACATAAGTGATAGGAAATTACAATTTTTACTCAGCTTCGCGCCTGATACATTAAGATCATGCGTGACTCTTTAAATATATTTTCTATTATTGATTTAGATGTCACATGTTAGTTATAGTTGTAGTACATGTTTCAGTGGTTGACTTTCAATTAATTTCTGTAAGAGCTCCAAAAACTGTTTTTGCCTTAGTCAATTTTTTTTCTTTTATTCGCATGTACGTTGTTCTGTTTTTAGGCGATGAAGGATTTGTATTGAACAAGAAGGTTTTGAAAACTGAACAGTTGGAAAACTTTTTGTAGTTAAAAAATAAATATTTAATAATTACTACTTTTTGTTTCATTTATTCTTTTTAAGTTAAACTAAAAGAAGTAAAATAAAACCATTAAAGGCTGCTCTTACATTACCTGCATTTCTCTAATCTTACATTACCTGCATTTTAACTTCAAAATGTTTTAATCATTAGGCATTCTCCTGCAGCCATTTTTTGGTTATTTAACAATAGTTTGGGAATGATTAAAGGCAAAAAAAATAATGTTTAAAGTTTTTAAGTTTAAATTTAAAGTCACAATACACTGAACGTAAATTTATCACTTTACACTAACATTTTCATAATTTTCAGCAAAATTAAGAAGCGAATTATTTTAAATACAACTCATGAAGATTAAGATGCCAAAGAAAATCTTGAAGAAGTCCCATACTATATATCTATTTAGTCTTGTAACATATTTCCTTAGTCAATAATTTAAATGTACCATAAATAGATATGGTCTGCAAAGACTATCCCTTTTCAAATATTAGAATGATGTATGGAACCGATCGTGATCATTCTATCATGTAATCAGACAGAGAGGTTATTGTCTGTATATTATTTTGACAGACAATAAAAGTTTTAAAGCTGTGTCGTGAGGTGAGGTGTAAGAAAAAACGAGACGGTTGTATTTTATTGTGGATATTTTATTAACATTATCATCATGCATCAAATTTATGTGCTAACTCATTTACACTTATAACTAACTATACATAGAAAAATAACTTAACTAGTGGGCAGAAAATACAGTATTTTGTTAAATTAATCGACTAAAATTAAAATTAGCAAATCGGACTTTAATCACGTAAATCTAAGAAGCAAATATAACGCAAAACATCACCGAACATATCTCTCAGAACGACAAAGAAATTAATGTTCGCGACAATGGCGACTGGGCGACACGCTCGCCGCGCCCTCGTCGCCACGCAGACGTAAACTCTACAAACATTGTCAACGATTTAAATATAAGAAAAGAGAACATTTTTATATAAAGGACATATCAAATCACTGGACAATTGTAAACGAGCGGGAATAGAATGAAGTGTAGGCAACTTGTCTCCGCTGCCGCCGCGCCGCCGCCCCCTACTGCCTATACCGAATTCACTAACCTTCTCATTGCTTTCGCGCAAGTAATTTCTCTTTTTCCTATCTAGCGACACCAAAAACAACATTGCAAATGGGTCGTGAGGGTGTGCGCTTTTGGATTATAAATATGAAATGTATTTACAATTTTGGTGCAATCGACATAACGCCACCGCCCCGCGCCAATCGGGCGATTAGGATTCTTTAAAAATGAAATTTATTTTACTAAGACTAGGTTCGATTAAATTAATTTCATTAACGATAATTTTTCTCAAAGTGCTGTTAAAATTTACATTGAAAAATTTAAGTACATTATTAATTAGACTTTGATTTTTCAACAACATCAATTCGACTAAAATATTAAAAAAAAATTTCGAGCATCTTTTTACATGCGTGCTCACACATCCCGCGCCCCGCGCCCCGCGCCCCGCGCCACACCGGTAACTCTCGTTCACAGTTCGATCACATCGCAACTCGCCACTCGCCACGCGCACTCTACACTACTCTACCCAGTCCCGCACATTCTGAGAGCGCTTCGCCGCCATCGCCTGGTCCATTCATTATCTACTACACGTTCATTTAAAATTAGATTTATTTATATTACAATAAAATTTGTAACCTACCGAACGAAATTTCCTAGAAAGGAAAATGGAAGTTGACGGCCGCGAGGCCCGCGCTCCGGACTACTTTATAAACATTTCAATGTCTCACAAACAATTAACAATTTATATCTATCAATTTTAAGACAATCTTTGATAAAATTGATTTAAATAAAATAGAAAGTGGAAAGCGCGAGCCGCGCGTTCCCTCCGCTCCGGACAGAAAAATAAATAAGTTAAAACTATAGTTATATTTACAAAAGCATAAGAAAAAGTGCTGACAGAAAGGGCCGTTGAGAAATCCTCCTACCTAATGTAACATACGAATAAACTTCACTTTTATATGTAAATATATATATTGATAAATCACATGGAACGGGCACTGGATTCGTTCAAGAAGCCGGACATGAGATCGTCGCCTACATAGACTTTGAAATCCTCTAACGGTAAATATTTTTTAACCTGTATTTCGGTTGGATTGGTCTAATATATTACATATATAGAAAATTTTATAAAGTGTATGATTTATACGCTCGTCCGTTTGTATCCTCGGTCCCACGTCTTAGCACCCATATACTCTACACACCTCCCCAAGGCTCCACTAACCCATCTCAGTTCGTTAGCGAAGTGAGCGGCCGACTGCTCCTATCATAGCTACTATCATGAAGCCTTATGTCCTAATAAATTGATATATTTCACTTTTAAATATAAAAATATGCATATGATAACTTCGGGGAATTTCCTAGTGTTGCCCGCGGGCCGCTCACTTCACTAGCTGTCAATGGACGTTCGCTCCTGCACCCCTCGTCCCCAACCCCCAGCCGCCCGCAGCAGCCGCACGCATGGTGCACGCACTCTGCATGCTGCGGACCGCTCGCTGCATGCATCACCGAGGCGTCTATTGCTGTGAAGTCGACGTGCTGCGGCTCAACGAGCTAGTTCTATCATCTATCTAGTTAAAAGTATTATGATTCGTTAACATTGGACCACAAATCGTAATTAATTATTAATAATATTTATTCAGGTAACAAAAAATAGAGGTCTCGCGGCGACGCGACATAGTGTTGTACCGCACGCGGTCATGTTTCCGTAATTAATTAACAATTCCTGATATGCAGAGAAGTTAAGCTTGTATATGAATATCGTAAATAATGATTTATTTTGATTTTTGATATGTCGATGCGGTTGCGGTTGCGGTACCGCGAGACCCCCGACCCACGGCGTCCTATCGTACAATTAAATAAAAGAAATAAACTAGAACATGTCCTCTTAAAACAGCTCACTTATAGTAAACATCTATTCATTATTATATAACACAATTAACGCACAAAAATCCATACCTTAATTATTAATTTATCAGTTGTCTAACAAAAAGTTGGCAGTAGGTTTCAGTACACGAGTAGAATTACAACTTAATTCCACAAACAGAGAACCCTCAAATAATATCATTTAAAATTCGGTTTCAATGAGACGAAGACTGGAAATAACGAAAACAGACCTTAAGTGTGTCGGAGGCGCACTTCGCCTCGCGGATGGTACTGTATTACTTTGATTGTACTTTTGACTTTGTTGTTGCGTCTCTTTTTTACAAACACGATGAGATAACGCAAAAGAGACGCAACGAGTTAAAGATATTGGTCAAAGTGCGGCCCCGAGCTGCACCTTACAGCCGTAACAAAGTGACAGCGAGTCAGACAATAAGACAATATAAATATATATATGCAATGGTTACAAACAGTGAGGTTTTCAATAGTAACAAGGTGTATATGCAAATGGCTATAAAAGCACCAAAGAAGTCATACATATTCCATGTAACGGTACAATACGAAACTTTTATAATATAAACATTTTACGTAAATATTTCTTTAATATAAACTCTTATTTAGACTATAATATTACACTTATTGCAAATCGTAAAAACTGTATCTATTATTTGAATAAATTGTATATTTATAATATGTATTATTTTTGCGTAGTTTTGAGGTAGGAAGTTCAGATTTCGTACAGTCGATCGAGGAAGTGTCTCTCGACAATAAATATGCAATATATGTATAGAAATTTCATTACAAACATTTAAAAATTCGTTTAACATCATACAAAACTCACTCCATCCGCATATAACATCTAGCAAATTTAGTATTCCATTCTGAAATTCCCCTAAAAATAGGTAATATATAAACATTTGAGCAATCAATTTCGTCTCCTATTTTGTATAAATATTAAATTCCATAATAAAGATATTATATTAGTACGACTTGAGAATAAGATTTATCTTAAGAACAATATTACAATCGAAGCGATCGGAGAACGTAACATGCACGACGATTTGACAAATAGAAAGTTAATAAAGTACATAAGTAATTAGTGGAAAACGTAATGAAAGAGCGGAACATGACTCGACTCTAGATTAGTTACGTATGACAGAAAGTCCCGTCCACGATCCGAGATTCCCGAGGGCGCGGGAGGGCGCGAGAGTGCGCCGGAGAGCGCCGGAGGGCGCGCGCGGCCTACGCCAACGAGCAGTCGATCTCGACGATGTCCTTGGGCACGTCGACGAACTGGTA